GATTTAGGTTATATATATATATATATATATATATATATAGTATTAAGATTTTATTGAATTCTTTTACTTGGGGTCGGTTTTTCTCGTTTTCGGTGGTGTTCGGTTTATTGTGATTTGGAAGAAATACTGCCAAACTCGAGCCAAATTACATATGATTCGATTTCAGTTCGGTTTAGTTCGGTTTGATACGATTCGGACCATTCCCCGCCTTTACCACTCTGCAACACGATTTACCACCTCACCACAATGAGGCAGGCAATACAGGGGCATCCCCAGGGTAAGCATACCCTATTTGGAACAAAGCATAAGAAGCGGAGCCTGCTGGCTGATTCTGTTGACCAGTGGGTAGTAATGAAAAGTATAGAATCGTCCCACTGTCTTGAAATCAAGACAATTCAAAATGACATACAATGATATAGGTGGTTCATAGCTACCATTAATCAGACGCTTCAAACTGCCTAATAGTTCATTTGTCAACAAATTTAATATTGCAGTTTACTACTATATCAAACAAAGCAATTTATCAAGGAAAGTTTTCAACATGAAAGACAACTTAAAAACAACAGGCAAACTACACAAATAGAAGCTCTCTAAAATGTGCATCTTCGTCTTACTTGCAAGCTCCTGCTGTATATCTTTTCATAAATTATGTTGAGAACCTCAAGTATCCAAATACAGCAATTTAGGTCTTTAGGATATTGGCCAAAAATCAAGCTTTAGCAGGCTCATCATCATCTTCAATTTCCCAACTCAAATTCTCGTCATCTTCTTCAGCGAGCCTTTTCCTCACCTCATCCCTATTTGCACTTTGAACGCGAGAAGCCATTTTTTTCTCATCACCACTCTCAATATCTTCAATCTCATCCCAGCCAAAGTCTTCATCTTCCTCCTGCAAAGAAGAATTGCCATTGCGCTTACCTGAAACTCCCTGATCACTTTCCCCCTCCACTGACTTCACTAAAGCAGAAGTATCCTTAGCCCCTTCCAAACTTTCTTCAGCTTTCTCTTCAGGCAAATTGTTATCCCCACTGGATTCAACAATAGAGCTTTTAATAGTAGTCTTTTCAGGAGAACTATCAGCATTGACTTCAGTTTGTCTCTTCTCGTCAACAATAACAGCACTCACATCTCTCGATTCATCATCATTAGCTGTAATAACTGGCACAGCAATTTTGGATGAATCTTGATCATTATCGTTACCAGCTAGTTCATTACTCCCCTGTTCATTGCTAGTTAGTTTTGCATTACTGGTTTTCTCATGATTGGCATCCTCATCATCATCATCTACGTCCCAGGATAATACTTCTTCTTCATCTACAGATATTGCTCTCTTCACAAGCTTAGCTCTAACACTCTCTTGCTGCTTGAGCTTATGCACCCTGTAAAAGTACCTACACCAGAAGGTCTCTTCATCAACCACACCTGTAGGTACAAGCCTTTTGTAAACACCCTCTAGGGTACTGTTTTCTGCAATCAAGTTTAGCAATTCATCCCTCTTATCATTTAAGTTGAACTCAGATTTCCATTTCGTATACTCTTCAAAATCCTCCGGTTCCTCCGAGAAAGTGTTTGGATCATTTTGGATTGTGGTCAGCTGTGCATCAAACCTACTGTAACGACGAGAATCCAAGTTCCGGCTAGCATCCGGGGTTACAGGTTCGGCGGCTGCCTCATAAGGTGCATGAAGAAGAGAGTCTTTACCTTGAGAAATGATCTCAGCGGTTGATTTGAACACTCCATCAATGGTTTTGCTGACTGATCCCAAAGAAACATGAGCCACCGACGCGCCGACATCAGGGAGCTCCTTGACCGCGCGGCTAGCAACATCCCGGATTAGATCCGTCTCTTTCTTAAGACCAGACCCGAATTCCTCCAGATCCCTGCGGTAAGTTTCGAGGACGGACTCGGATCGAGAGGCTAATGTCTTCATCAGACCTCCGAAACTCCAACCACCCGCACTGCTATTGGCCGTAGTTGGGCTGGAGCTTGAATTGAGATCGTCTTTTGATTGGAAATTCTGGTCATCGTCATCCTCCTCAGTTTCTTCTGGATTTGCGTCTTGCCTGGATGGGGAGCGCTGCTCAGACTCTCGGTCACTTTCGGGCTCGGGAGAATCCGAATCATCGGCTAAAATCGACTTGAAGAAATTCATAGCTTCAGCGATTCGATCGAAGTGCTATGAGATCCAATTTAGTTTCAAATATTTAGAGGACCCCCAATTTAACACTATAGATCATAGATCATGAACCTCTTGAATCTCTATTGTTGAGTAGCTGAAGAAACCATACAATAATTCTGATTAAAGCCCGGGCCGACTGTACCGAAAAAATAGCTAAAATAAAGCCAATTTCCAAAAAAAAAAACTGACCACATTTAAATTTGGACAAAAATGTGACTAATTGATGTCACTGCTATATTTTAATGTTATTGTGTGATGTCACTATCGGATTCTCTATGTCACTATGGCCACCGTCAATATCACTACGATCACCGCCAATGTCACTGATGTCGTCGACCATGTCACTAATGCCGCTGATTATATCACTAACGCTGTCGGCCATGTCACTGACGCTGTCAGACATGTCACTATGATCGCCATAAATTTTTCAGGCCACTTTTTTCCGCTAATTTTAATCAAGTCTGTCCACCCCACTGCCAGAGCACCGCCACTGTCGTTGCCTTCCATCGTCGTGTATCGTCCGACTCCACGCACTGCAACTGCACCGCCATTGACGACGTGTCCTGCGATAGGTGACTCTGTCAGCCGTCAGCCGAATCTCCAACCCTGTCATTGTCAAACAAGTTCCAACCAGCCCCTATCAATGCCCACCACGACCTCACAGTCCTACCACAGCCGCCACCGTCATGGATCTAGCAACATCCAGAGCTGACCTAACCAAAATCCCCACCCTGTCACTCCCAGTGCCGGTCCTACCTAAACTCAGGCTTGAGTCGAGTTTCATAAAATGGACCCCATACACAATGTCCATTGTACATGGTTGGTGAATAGCTTCAGCGACTACTCCTGCGGATAATCTGATGCAGACGAGATGCGACATTGCTGCGAGGCTGCAAGCGACATTAGAGAGGGCAGTTTTGTCACTTGCTTCAAAATTATTCCTATTTAGGGTTTAAAAAGATTCAAGTCCTACTTACCTTCCCATCTCTTATTTTAATCCTATTTAAGTCTATTTCCCTTTATAATTATAACTATAATCATAATTATGACTATTGATAGATAGCTAATATTGGGATACCACTAACGGTATCTAGAGAGAAGGCAGAACTAATAAACAAGAGAGAGGGAGCAATCGTATTAAATGAATAGTGGTCTGTCACAACTGCCCAAGGGACTGCTATATAAACTGGTCATAAATGTTATGTGTATGTATTAAATGCACATACACAATTAAGTTAATCTATTGCGAATAGTATTCCCCCTGTGGTGAGGAGGCGGGCATGTGGCACATCATTCAATGCAGAAGTTGGGCGTTGAGAAACGCGGGACGAAATGCCTTTTCTGTGCTGAGGTTGAGGGCTATGCCCTCGGTGCCGAAGGCTCTAATGGGGATGTGAATTACCCGATTCCCTTGTTGAGGCGGACCGTGCCAGGTTGTTGTAGTTTGAATCCCTCGGGTTTGGTCCCTCAGGGTGTCTATGCCTGGGCTGTCGTATTTAAGCTGCTGTATTTGGACCGCTACGGTAGCTGGGCTCGTTTGAGATAGTGGGAGTATGTGGATCGGGGGGTCCTGGGCCATATACTCCATCAACTATGATTATAATTATAACTATAGCCATAATTATGACTATAATTATACTTATAATTATATTAATTTTACTATAATTACAACTATATCTATAATCATATTTATAATTATAATTTAAAAACTCCTATTTAGGGGCTTTTAAATGTTTTACTTCTATTAAAGGAACTATATCCCGTAAATAGGCAAAATAATAATGTCTTTAAGTTTATTTATGATCTTAAATCGGTGAACATGCCTGGAGTACACCGGGGAGGGGAATTATTAAAGTAAATGTTGATGCAGCGGTTGACCCGAGTGGCGACAAGAGAGTCTGGGGTTGGGTGGCGAGAGATGAGCAGGGAGAGTTCATCCAGGCAAGAGGAGTCTCAGTTAGAGCAGGATGGTCCTCGGCGGAAACGGAAACAGTAGGTCTGAGAGACGTTATAGAAGAGGCAGTTGCAGCTGGCTGGCAGAACGTAGACTTCGAGACAGATGCACTTACAATAGTCCAAGGTCTTGCGGGGGAGGGTTATATTCATTTAATTCTTAAAGATATTAAGGAATTCCTTTTAACAAAGAGTAATTATAGAGTCTCTTTTTGTAAACGATATGTGAATCGTGTAACTCATGCTTTGGCTAGAGCACATATATTACTCTCAGATCACAGAAGTATGTTGATGTTGCTTCGGACTGTATTGTAAGTCATCTGGTTAACGATTTGATTAATTAATACAAGTAGCTAGTTGATGATATAAAAAAAGATCTTAAATCGGTATGTGCTATGTGATGATCGAAATTTTGTTATATGTGTGTACTAAAATTCTGCATGCACACGCCTCCCAGGATAGAGCGATTCTTTTTTCCCAACGGACTCCGATGAACTCAAAGATGCAACGAAGCAAGAGTGAATATGGAAGAATTGTTTGTGAATTTTGAATATCCTAAACAGTAGATCAAGATGATATATAGAGCTCTTGTCAGAAGTCTCTAACCCAAAAGTCATCTCTTAAAAAAAGGTCATAATCAGATAAAAAATAAAATTGCTTTAAATTAATTATCAAGGTGGTAATTTAGTATAAAAATGATTAAGGTACTGGGTAATTATTATTTATCAAGGCACTAGAGTACCATTTATTGAGGTGACCTCAATATGATTAAGATACCCAAATGATTAACGTATAATTGGATCGGAGTACCATTTTAGCTATTTTCATATATTTTTTTTTTTATTTTATCAATAAAAGATATTGTCAATATAATTTTTGCATAATTCAATTCAGCAATGTCTAGTCGATTCAACCAATTTCAATTCTACGAAATGGGCTCTTAATGTCTAACTACGCTTGCTTTCAGGTCGAGCATAGGCTCCGAGGTGGAAATTCCACCTTTTGGTACTACGAATAGCTTACAAGAAGCTACGAAAATAATCCATATAAATTTACACCAAGATTTTTGGGCAATAATCCACCACTGCAATTTCTTTTTATTCATTTCTTTTGAAAATAAATAAATAAAAAAAGAGATATATATGTTACTATGCATTGATAGCAGCCTGTAGTTGTTCCAATGTTTTTCCTTTTGTTTCAGGCACTACCTTGATCACAAACAAAATGGCAAGTGCATTGATTACTGCATATAGAACAAAAGTTCCTGCAACCATGTAAATCCACATAGTTAGTGCTCATCCACCAGTTTTGCATTGCATTACATTGTTTCTTTCAAGTATCTAAGAGTTTTCATTTCAACATCATCAAAAGAAAAAAGAATGGTTGAGAGATTTTATATCTACCAAACGAGCTCCATGCCATGAGGAAGTTGAAAGTATAGGAACATAACCAAGCTCCAAACCAATTCACTAGGGTTGCAAGGCTTCCACCAGCTCCTTTTATATTTATAGGAAATATCTGTAGCACATAACAAAACTCTTAAGGTGGAGGTGGAAATGTTGGACTATGACTTAGAAATTTCTTATTAGGAGCTTTTTCCTTCCTCTTCCGATCCTCTAACTATCGTGACAATGACACTTTTGGTACTCATTTTTTAAGTTTTCACCTTTTATTACTATGAGGTTTTGGGTATTGCGATAGAGACATTCTTAAAAGCTTAGTCCTAAATTTTTTTTAATTTCAGTCATCATGAGACTATGAGAGTGACATGGTTTTTATACACTAACTTAATTCTTTTTTACTTTGGTGACAACTCCGGTACCTTTCTAAAATATGGGGTATCGTACCTATCATTCATTTGATTGGACCATATCACTTTATCATTTTTATTTTAGATTTAAATAATTTAACTGCTACATTCTCATTGGTCCATGTGGACAAAGGTATGGTACCTTATGGGTACCATAGAATCTACCTTTTACTTTTAGTCATCGTGAGAGTAGTAGTGACACTTTTGGTACTCATCATTGCAATTTGTCATAGTAGGTGGAGAACATAATTCTAAGTGTCACAATGATTTGAGGAGAAAAATATCATTATCACAATAACCGGGGGATGAGAAATTCAAAGGCGACCCAAAATTGTCTTTGTTACAACAAAAGATCAAAAGTTTAAAATTTTAGTTTTTCAAAACTATCCTTGTCACAATAGTAAGTATTGAAAGTGGAAAAAATCATATATGGACCCGAAAATGAGGGTTATAGCCAAATAGTCAGAAGACTAAGAGTGAAAAAACACTTAATTTTAGGCTTTGCAGGCTACCTCAGACATCACTACCCATGGGACTGCTCCCATTCCAACTGAAAATGACCCGATGTACACCTGAATCCCACAAACAATTGTTAGTAGATGCTCAAACGAATACACCTCTTTTAATGAACAAAAGCGGGCTGTTTCTGGTATGATGATGAATTTGGATGATATGGATAGGCAAAGACAGTAAGGTGTACCAGTATTCCTGTAACAGCAAGTAATGGTGCTGCACTGACAGCTATTTCATGTCCCTATTTCATCAAAATCATTCTTTACGCATCATAATAACACTAATGAAATGAAGGTCAGGAATACATTACTGTTAGGCATTTACCTTCAAAAAGAATGAGATGGCTGTTAGTGCACAACCAACGACAAGTCCTGTTCCTGAGACCTGGAAAAGAGGAGATGAAGGTTAGCCTTATGTTGCATGAGACAGTCTTAATTTTTAAGTGAATAGCATTTTGTGCTTAGTTGTTATTATACCACTAATAGAGGCTTCCTCCCTGCTCTGTCTATTAAGGCTGCACCTAATGCAGTGACTACAACCTACCAAAATAAAAAAGAAGTGGTAAAAGTGAGCAAGCATTTCAGATACATGTAGTTTAATAGCCCAATGAATGATATCTAGTTTTCATATATCATTGTTAAGACATCTCATACTAATTAAAATCAAAGACACAAAGTCACACATAAAGCTTTGTATTACTCCTCTATCAAATTGACCATGAAGCCCCATGGTCTTAATATGATGCTAGAATCAATTAGGTCCAAACAGGACATTAATCCGTTTAAAACTAAAATGAACATGCACGCTTCAATATTGGCTTGCTAGACTAGTATCTTGAGAGTATGTTTTAGGCTACGCGCATACATCTCATACCATAAATATACAGACTCACTCGCATATAAGGTTTTAGGCTACTCTCTATGAGGTTGACCAACATACTAAATCTCAATCACCAACACATGAAAGTTGTCATTTGTAATAGCCTTTGTGACGAACGGATCTTGTCAATTATAAAAGCTCTGTAAAGGATTAACCCGATTTTGTTACAGAACTTTTGCATTCGCTGGTAACTGACTTTCGGGACAAAGTCCATTACAAATGACAGTTTCTTTTGTTGTGTATCTTCCAGAATAAAAGTGTTGAAACCTGGAGAATAGCATAGATTACAGTTCCTACATTTGAAGGAAACCCTGTGAATCAAAGAAAAATACGGTGATATCATAAAATGTCCAAGTGGAAAAGGTATATATGGTTATAGCAGTTAAAAACTAAATGTAAAATGCAGTAGAGACTTGTTTGAAATATCTACCCGAGGACTCAAATATACTACTGGTGTAGAAACATACTCCATTAATGCCACCAAGTTGTTGGCATACCATTAGCCCAACTCCCACCTGACCATAAACTAACCTGATTGTAACTGAAAGTTGTTGCATGTTAACTGTAAAACTGAATTACAAGAACAAAGAAACATACAATGACAGAGCGCGAGTATCTTCGTTGACATAAATCAAGCAACCTGGCTTGTGGGAGCTTTTCAAGGCTTTCAATGTAATCCTGCCACATAATAATGATATATTGAGAATGTGAGCTCGAGACACGAGGCCGAGTTTTAGAAGTTATGAACCATGATTTCCGCTGCCTCGGCAGATAGGTCAGCATCTTTTCCACGAAGTCTGTACAGCGAATTCTCAAAATCCTTCTGATTTCCGATTTTTGCCTGCGGGAAAAAACAATTTATGCATGTGAAGCTTAGTGCATACTCTGGAAAATATAAATTAAAGTTGGTTGTTACTAATACTCTTTTTTTAATTTAAAAACACTCCATCTCACCAGCCATCTAGGAGATTCTGGAATGATGAAGAGGCCCATAACAAGAACAACACATGGGATTATCCCTGCAAGTGATCAGCTTGTATTATAATAAGTAGTAGCAATAATACATCATTTCCATTAGTGCCAAGAAGTCAAACCAGTTAATGCTAAAGCCCTCTATGACATAATTGTCCCCAAAATGAATGCAACTGATACTCCAGTGCAAATCATAAGCTGCAACATAAACACGAATGAACAATTTATCAAGGCATGAAGGTAAACAACCACAAGAAATATATATCCTTTCTCTGCATGAAAATTAAACAAACGCAAGACTACTACATCTATTCCCCCCTTTCCCACTTTCTCCGGCAATTTCTTGAAATCTTCCTATTTAAATCTTTTAGTTGAGAGATGTTTTTGGCATTTCCAATAAAACATATTGATAATGAACCTATGTTCTAAAGCATGCCCCGTTCTTTCTGCTCACACAAATCCATGCGAAAAGGCATTAGACATTCCATCTCATTAATATGCACCCCCTCGGATCGATAACTTTGGTGTTATTTGAAGTACAGTAACATTTAGGTATTCAATTATGATGGTTATTTGTTTACCTACAATATTTTTTATTCGTAGATTATTAACCCGTACCCCCTAGAATCTATAAACTTGTTTAGATCTTAGTAACTAGAGAGATACGACTTTGCATTATAGATAGCTTAAGACCAATAAAGAATCCCAGGGAATTCCAAAATTTCAGCATTGAGTCATCTCACATTAGCCGAATATGAAATTAAAAGTTCAAAACTTTAGTTATTTCCCCTATCATATTAACCTTTTAGAGTGTAGCTCACTAGCTCGAAGTCTTGATAATAAGTATGTTCCAAGCCTTGAAACCTCGGAGTTATTTGTAACTTATTTAACCTGATTTATCGTTGTCAATGCTCCTCGCAACTCTTTGGGTGCAATTTCAGCTATAAACACTGGTACCTGCTTAATATGAAGGCAGTGGAATCATGGTTAAGGTAGTTGCAGGTTTTGTATCATACGGTAGAAAGAACATGAAGATATATCAAATGTTAAATAGATAGGAACATAGGCATCACCACATAAGAAAAGACTCCCATTCCATATCCGGTTGCCAACCTTCCAATGTCCATAGACATAGCTCCCTTTGAAAAAACACATGCATTGTTAGACTGACTCACGTTTTCTTGTTATGGACAGAAAATTAAACTTGAACTGAATGCCCAACCTTAGCAAAATAAATGGCCAACCATCCTGCCACACAGATGGTCCTCGACATCCGCATTGCCTGTTTATTGGTTTGTATTAAATGGAATGTATCAGATAAACGAGAACAGTAACGATTTATGCACACCTTAACACAACCTTCACATTTATCAAATTTGTTCTCATACACGAACAAATTTGTGTGTGTGAGAACAAAAAATTTGCTTGCATGAAGGTATATGTAGTCGTGTTCTAAAATGTGATTGGTGTAGTTATATTCATATTTCAGATGGCAATTAATAAGGACAATATATGTGATTGGTGCATAAAATTCACATCAATTCATCTGTTGACCATCATTTGCATTAACCATCCAAAGTAATTCATAAGTAAATACTATGATCTTGAATCAATTATTATTTGTAAGAAGGGTCACCTATCACTTTTTATTGATTTTCTAATATACCAAGTACAATGTATTATGGATGCCACATGCGTGAGTTACTACAGGTTTGTGACACCACTACCAAAATTAAAATTTAACAACCCGAAAATTGGTTTAATCTATTGAAATTGTTGAAATTCTTGTTGAAACGTCTGAATTAACTAATTCTAATGAATTAAAAAGGAAATTATTTTATTAATACGATAAATAAAAAGTTATTTGAAAATTAGGTAAAACCGTAAAACAATTGTCTTTATCAAATTTACCAGAAAAGTAAAACATGAAAGCAAAAATCAGTTTTTGGTGAAAAAGTTTGGAAAAAATGGTAACCAAAGGGGCTTTGAAATTTAAAAAGTTACTTTGAGTTATAATACTCTTGTTCTACTACCTCCGTATCACTTTTATTGTCACACTTTCCTTTTTTAGGTGTATCAAAAAAATTGTCCCACTTCTACTTTTGCAAATAAATCAACTCAAAAAACAGTTACAGTACTGTTACAGGGCTGCTATAGTGCTGCTACAGTACCAAAAAACTCATACTTTTTCAAAAAATGTACAGTAAACCTATAAATTTTCTTAAACTACTACAAAAGCCTACTGTGACAATAAAAGTGATACGGAGGGAGTACTAGGGAGTACTTTTTGCTAATTATACTGCTCTTGCTAATAAACACCATCTATTCCAATTGCTTTTATCGCATGGTAATAGAAATTAAGGAGCAATATATACTCCCACCCTCCCAAAATTAAGGAGTACTATACTTTTGTGTGGTGGAAATGTGATCTTTTCTCTAAAAAGTTTACTCCCACCCTCCCAAAATTGACTTTCAGTTTGACTTTTAGTTATGTTTGGATGCATTCAATTTCGTCCCTGTGGATAATAAGAGAAAATGGGCAAATAAGCTCACGTACTAACAAAAAATGGTCAAATAAGTCCTTATATAGGAGGCTCTATCCGGCCGTCGCCATTTGGGGCAGTTTTCGGTGGAATTTTTTGATGAATTTTTTTGAACATCTTATTCATTAAGCCTAGTTTACTCATACCAAATTTCAGCTAAAACTTCAATCGAGAAGGCATTCAAATGAATTCTTGAAGATAAAAGCGCAGTTATCTTCAAAAATTCATTTGAATGCCTTCCGATTGAATTTTTAGCTGAAATTTGGTATGAGTAAACTAGACTTAATGAATAAGATGCTCAAAAAAATCATCAAAAAATTTTACTGGGAACCGCCCCAAATGGCGACGGCCGGACAGAGGTTCGTATATAAGGGCTTATTTGACCTTTTTTATTAGTATGTGGGCTTATTTACCCCATTTCTCTTAATTATTAGACGCCACTCTGTTATAGAAAATGTGATTGTGGGCAAGAAAACAAAATCTTCCAACCCAGCCCACTCTTAACTTACCCCTTTGCGACCGATGAAATCAGCAATGGGGCCGCTCGTTATTGCTCCAATCATGGCCCCAAATGTCAAAATGGAGCCGAACAATGAGTACTGCACACAACAAACAAAAGAATTTTTCTTTTATAAAATTTTGTATGTATAACTTTTTTGACTGTTATACAATTGAAATAATAGAATCCATAGTTGTACATACATGTTGTAAAGTGATATATTTATAAAGTGAATTTAGTTGTCATTATATAAAATAAACAGCCTCATTTTTGTGATAAGAAACATTACTATTGTTTTAGTATCGCATAAAACTTAAAATAGAATTGAAAATAAACGTGAGAAATGGCGTGTATATTGAGACCGACCCAAAAACTTATGGCCTAGTGAGATTGAGTGAGATTTCGAGGGTGTTTGGAAAATTGACGTTTGAGTAAAAAAGTAGTGGTCTAGTGGGTTGATCTCTTTTAATGAGAAATTATATTTACAGCCCCTTTTTACTAAACACACGCTCACAATTTCCGTTTTTTCTATAATTCCATTTCCACCCTTATAAGTTAAAGCCCCTAGCGTTCCCGAGAACATCTTCAATTTCATTTTTGCCTGGTTACTGTAATCTCAAGGCAAACTTCTCTACCCCACAAAACATTTGTAGAACACTTCCAGTCCAACGAACATGGGAAATGTTTAAACTAAGCACGCAAACACAATGGATTGGTTTCTCAAACCGCTTATTACACAGTTCTTCGAACGAAAAGGAAGATGATTGCTTTTTGGAATTGGGCCCTGCGGTTCAGAACTGAAATTGTCAACAGAGAAGTCCGAGCGGTTTAGGAGGCAGAAGGGTTCTGTAAGAAAAAGCTTAGCCAACCAGAGTCATCTAGTGAACGATTTATTTTTATTATTTTTATTTAATTTGCCTGCTGTGTTTAGTAAAAAGGGGACTGTATATAGAATTACCCGTAAATAATACTCCGTACTACGTACCATTTTTGAACGAACCGCTGCAAGACAGTTAAATTATCAAACACATTTTTATAATCCGGTGGACAAACCGGCTATGAACAACTCGTTATAACATGTTATCGGCTAATTGCTAAATGAGAGTCAAACATACCTCTGCTAGAGATAGATGTAGATCTTCCCTGATAGCAGTTTGAGTTGGTGATGAAAAGCCTGCCTGCAAATAAAATATGAAACCACAGAGATTGTCTCATTTATGCCAAAACATAAAACAGATCAGAGGGGAAGATCAATCATGCATATATAGAGTCTTCTGAGTCTGACTTTGCCACTTACACAAGATCCAAAAGAATAAGAACCACAGACAGCAACAATTGTACTGAAGAAGACCATCCATCTTCCTTCCTTGCTCTGAACCTTCTGGGGATGTTCTTCTCCATGCCCATCTTCTTCTATGATGAGTGGGGCTCTCACATCTGCTTCTGCCATTTTCTGGGCATCTTTCTTGATTGCCATATTCTTGGAGCAGTGCAGCTAGCTAGTCTGTCAACCAATGAGTAAGGGACAGAAAGAGGAGTTCAATTCATTCACTAGTAAAACAGAAACCACAAAAATAAGCAGACAGACAAATCATGATACCGATGGTACAGTACAGATTGATACAAAATCGTTTTCAGGATCCTTAATAACGTGCACGTATCAATGATTGTTTTATGTATATACATAGTATACATTAAATGGGATTGTACATCCTCTCTTACTTTCCATATTTGTTTTGTTTTTTTGCACTCACCAACGTTCAGATAATGTGAAAAAATGTGTCAAAATTATAGAAAGTCAGAGATAGAGAGATGGTCTGTTTGTTTTTTGTTTTTTACTCCCTCTATCCCTAAAAGAAGTTCCATTTCACTATTCAATTGGTCAACTTAAATCACTCTTAATCTCTTACTTTTTATATCAAAATTTTATAAAAGTTGAATTATTTTTTGCAGGCTTTGTAGCGGGTTTAATGTAGTTTCTGAATATGTAAATTTTATTTACTAAAAATAATCCGAGTTTTCACAGGGATCATTTAACTTTATCGTCGGTCAAGCTTCGTAATCCGCAATTGGAACGAGGGTACAGAGTATTTGTCATAATACGCAACATTTAGGGACGGAGGGAGTATTTGTTTATTTCTCATAATCATTTGGACCTGACGGAAGCAACAAACGAAATTGGAATGAAAATTTGAATAACTTTTTTCATTTTTCATCTCGTTTAGTTTGATTGCAATGAAAATTTGAATAGCTTTTTTCATCTGGTTTAGTTTGATTTAGTCTTGTCGCGTCAGGACTCTGGACCGATCTGGTCTGATTAATCTGATAAACAAAAATATGACTTAAATTACTATGAGTACGTATATCATCAATGGCTGCAATGTAAATTAGAACATCATTAGAGCATCTCTAATGTTACAATGTGCACGGTGCACATGTGACATGAGAGAGATAGACACAAAATATTGATTTTATGACATTTCTTTCTCCTTCTTTTCACGGTCTTATGTGTTTTTGGTGAGTTTTTGTCTGCAATGTCAACTACAATGTCTACATTTAGACATTGTATTTGACATTGTGTAGAAAAACTTACCAAAATGATGTAAGTTCTCATGTCACGTATGCACCGTTAACGTTTTAGCATCGGATATGCTCTTATAGTTGATAAGGGTTGGTTTGCAACTCCTTTTAAAAAAGCACTTCTCAGCTTTTGGCTTTAAAAAAGCACTTATTTTCCCAAACACTATAACTTTTATTTTTCTCGGCTTCCGCGTCAAAAGTGCTTTTACTTTTTCTATTACACAAAAAGCACTTATTTTACCAAACACTACCCACTTTTACTTTTCAAAATCACTTTTTTCTCAAACACTATCAATTTTTATTTAATCATTTCTCCTCATTTCATTAAAAAAACACTTTTTTAAAAGCAGAAGTTATTACAAACAGACCCTAACTAGTGTAACACTTGGGGCATGCCCCGGTTAGTGACGCATTGATATGAATTAAAATATTAATGTTAATAGAGTTGTGAATTATTTACAAAACTTTTTAGTAACGTTTTTTTGCATTAAAAATAATGTGTAGTGATATTTTATTGAGAAATGAGAAATGATTTTAAAAAACTGATGTGAATATGATTTATTATTATTTTGGTTTTGGACTTGTTTTTTTTATATTCATGAGAAATTAATTGAAAAATGTCCATAGAATGCAAAGTAATGAAAATAGAAGGAAATGAAAATATTAATGTGTCAAGTATCATTGATGGGTTTTAAAAGAAATTTCACAATTTTGAAATACTTATTTATTCAGAAACTTTGCGCTTCTTCAATTCTATCTTTGCATTTGAAGAGGATTAAAAGAAATCGGTGATTGTTGTAACGAAGATCACTGTACCCATTCTTGTTGACAATACCTTGAAAATTTAGAATTGATATATAGTGTTAACTTTTGGCAAAAGTTTCTTTACACAATGTATTTTGGAGTAACAATAAAATTGACATGTGTGTTCTATATATAGGCTCAATATCATGATATCCTATTCAAATATGTACATTTTTTTATTGATGTGGAATCCAAATGACATCGATAAAGCTAAGTGTTTTCCTGTGCAAGTGAGCAAATCACACTATGCATAATATGAATCAAATTCATAAGATTGAGATAAATGTTAACTCTACTATGAAAGTTCATGTCATTTGAGTGTGAGCGTTAAGTGAGGCCGACTTCTACGTTAAATTTTCTAAAGTAAATGAAATGGGTTTGAATAACTTTAATTACGCATTGTGAATAATGATACAAATATACATATAAGTATATTAACTTTAAAATGTGTGAGCTTATTTATGATGTAAATTTCTGGAAAACAATTATTAGATCGTACTCCTCACTACAAAAAATTATGGGATTGACACTGGTTTGTCACGAATATACCGAAAATTTTGTGTCAAATAGCTTGTGTCATGATGTTTTTGGCACGGATTTGACATATCCCTGCCAAAATCCCTACCAATTTTGAAAAAGCTCTGTCAAATCTCTATCACTATCTCATGTTAGTACATAAAAACCCCGCTAAAAAAAGCCTAGTGGACATTTAATTTCGTTGTCAAATGAAGGCTCTTCGGGATATGATCCGTTGATCCCATCTGAATTTTTTAATCTGATCCGAGTGATTCTTACATGATGTGATTTAATTTTTATCAGATCTTAATATTTCTAATCTTATTACCTTGAAATCGTAATTACCATTTCTTAATTATTGTGAATTTGTGATGATGACAATAATAATTTTTAATCACAAATACTTGAAGATGACTAATTCATTTACTTCGTATATCAGGGGCGTATCCAGGAGTAAGAGTTGGGCTGGGCCGGTACAAAGAATTTTTACAGATAAATTTTTACTCATAAATTTTTACATTAAAAATATAAGCAATTTTAAAATTTGGGCTGGGTCGTGGCCCGGTTGGCCACCCCTCCACCTCCGCCACTGCGTATATTTTAACAATATTTTACGAACTTTGAGACTTGGAAAGGAGTGAAGGGCAAAAACCCTAGTCGTCTCTCATCTCCCCTCTTCTCCCTAATTTCTCTCTCCTCCTGATTTTGAAAAAAGATTTTCTTAATTAGTAATTTGATGTGATTTTTTGTGGTTCCTTCTTAGTGACGCCAAGGGTTTGTGTATTCCCCGTCGGTGAAATTGATCGGATGTTTAATATTTGTTGTTGGCAATGCTTGTTCTGCTTGTTTTTTAGGATGTTAACTTCAAACATCGAGGATTCCGAAAACTCAATTATTCGTTCTCCGGAACCATCACCATGCTATGAGAAAAAGATAGCGCCCGATTGGAGCTTCTTTTCGCTAGTTGCTCAAACCAATGATATTAGCAATTTCTTCCTATTAGTTTGTCAAACTGAGGATTCTAACTATTTCTTTTTTATGGCTAGACATGTTAAATTTTCTATTATTTTCTTATTAGGGATGGTGAATCCTTTTACATGTTTATTTTCTATCACAGAATAGTCTTAGCGCTTTTTTAGTCTTGATCATTGGTTTAGTAGTAGAAGCTTCTATATTGATAGAAGAGTCTACATCTCTACGAGGTTAGCGAGTTGTTATGTTCATTGGGAACTTTTTAGTTTTATATCTCATATTCTCATCTTGTGCGCATGGCGTACCAATCTCTAAAGCGGTGTAATTTTGCTTATTAAAAATTAAATACTCCATATGAAGTAAACCCACATAGCAACAGTGAGGGAAGAATAGTGGGGTGTACTGGGAGTCGATGCCCATCTAGGGCGCCTCGAAGACGGACTTCAGCCAGAGAAGGAGATGGAAGTTGTGGGACAGCCAAGAAAAGTACTAGAAACAACAGTGGAGTGGTGACCCATCGACTCCTTTGTGGCATCTGAGATGGAAGCGACATCCATGTCAGCTTGCGGCAAAGCTTGGCCACTGCTGATTCGAGGACAATTTGGCCGATTTGACAAACCTTCCATATCGCTGGTGGAAATCTTGACCCGAGTAGCGTGCGCTTCAATTTCAAAGACATATTGGAGGTAGCACAATGAGTAGCATGCAATCTCTGCACGGGCCGATGACTAAAGAAATGACTAAGAAAGCTGACAAGAAATGACTAAAGAAATGAGATGGAGCAGAATTAATTAAAATAAATTAATTAACGGGCGTGAAATTAATTAAAATAAATTAATTAAAATGACTAAAGAAAAAACAAGAAATGAGATGGAGCAGAATTTAGTCAAAGCTCGTGCTACGTACGATGTCCTTAAAACGTATTTGTTGCCTCCCACAGTGCTAGGAGCGTTGCAACAATCGTTTCCCACGATACGATGACTACGAACTAATGTTTGGGCATGCAAACAAAAGTTCCAGCGAACGAGAACAAAGACTGAATACTCAAGAAATTTTTAGAGGTAGCTGGAGGTGTTTTTAGCTGAAGAAATACGTGAGCTAGTGTATGTAAGAATGTGTAAGATCGTATGTTGTTGCAAACCACCTGCCAGTCATTATATAGGAGGATTTGTTGTGTGTAAATGGTGAATTAATGGACCTGAACGTTGGACATCAATGACCAGTCCGTTGGGCATTGAATCGACCATGAACTGTCCATTTAACGCTGCATTAAAAGATAAGAATGTTGGGCATTAATTGTTGTAACGGTCCAGAACGTCCAGCTGCGCGACCAGAAGACCCCCCAATAGAACACCCTATGAGGTGTTCTGTCCGAAGCCAACAGAACACCCGTATACCTTGAGAGATAGATTTCTGGACGACATTCGTGTCCGCAGGTTGCCCGCACACGCAAGTCGCAGTTTTTCTTCTCCGATTTCGGGATTTGATTTGCACCCCCCCCCCATGTGGAGAGAGCCTTTACCCTTAGGAATCTTAACTCCTTAAGGGGGAATCCCTCGATAAAGGGTTGCAAATCTCTTGGGTTCTCCGGTGTGAAAATAACACACTAGAAACTCATCTTTTTCCCAGTTTTTCCATTCTAACGGGTAAACTTTGAGAATCAATTTCTCATTCACCCGTTATCCGTTTTGAGCGTACCATTTATCGAAATGTAGCCATAAGCAAGGACAATCCGAAACCACTTTGACCCAACCCAAATCGGAAGTAGACCCCACTCAAAATTGCCCCAAAATTACCATTTAGTGCAATTTCAACACATTTTTCCAACAACAAAATCTACATTTCGAGTTTTTCGACGAGTTACATTTCAATTAACGTGATTTACATTTTAACTAACTTAGAGTTACATTTTGCTACACATGATTTATGTCTTATATATGAAACGTGAAAAAATAACCATTGCACGGACTAAATGAGTTACACTTCAGCATATGCCTTACATTTAGCGCTAACTGTAATTACACTTGAAATCACATAAGTTACATTTCAATGCAAAAGATTTACATCATGAAAAATATTTAGTCAACAAAAAATTGTTACTCTTCGTTCATGTTTTTATTTAAAAATTAAAATTAAATTACTCCCTCCGTCCCTTTTTATTTAGCCAAACACTATTTTTCAAGTCAAGGTTGTTCAACTTTGACTGGTTATATATTTATACACGGTAATATTGATAATATGAAAATTATATGAAAATGTTCTTTGTTAAAAAGACTATCATAAAAGTATAACTTTATTAACTTTTATACAAATATATTAATTAAAATAATGGATCAAAGTTTATCATTTTTATTGAAAAAGTCAAAATTGACTAAATAAAAAGGGACATAGTACTTTGTAGGGGTGAGCAAAAATCCCGGTCCCGGTGTCCCAAACCGAAAAATCCCGATACCGTTCCGAAACTATCCCGATACATTTAGGACGCAAGTATTTCATCCCGAACCGGTCCCACACCGATATTAACCGGGACGGGACCGGGATAACTATAAAATATCATGTCCCGTTTGAAATTAATATGTTATTTTAAATTTCTAATGCTATGTAATAGCCAAATCTAATTAAAACTTTGTAGTCCTTAGTCTCCCTAGTGTAATTTTATCTTCTTCTGTATCTCTCTTAGTCTCGTTTCTTTTGTTTCTTTTGATTAAATTAAAATTTGTTTAGTTCTCATTCCAATACTAATTTATAATACATTTTGTGTACACGTATCTGTCCTTCACTGTGATAGACAACTTATTTTAAGTTGTCTGTGAAGGACAGACATGTGTACCTCTAGCAAAACTCTATATTATTACGTGCTGAATATTATTTATGATGGAATAACTACTAATGTATTCCAAATTATAGTGTTGTTATAGATTTAATATTTTCCAAAATAACTAATAGAAGATATATACATTGTCTTTATAGATATGATATTTAATTTAAAGTGGTATTGGAAAATTACAAGTGTACTACAAAAGTATAAAATTATTTTGCGCTACTGTATATTCTACTAGAGAAAACACAAGATTAGGTGGACCAAAAAAATTTACAAGACAAAAATTAAAAGTAATTAACTAGGCTTTGTTACCAATTTCTAGGCTTTGTTTGCAACCACTTGTGCTTAAATAAAAGCACTTTTTGGGAAAAAGTGATTAGTAGTAAAAATTGGTAGTGTTTGGTAAAATAAATGCTTTTTGTGTAATAGAAAAAGTAAAAATTAGATTCTACACGGAAGTCGAGAAAGTAAAAGTTAGTAGTGTTTGGTAAAATAAGTGTTTTTTTCTTAGAAAAAAGCCAAAATCACTTTTCTTAAGTGATTGCAAACAAGCCCTAAAGGTTTTATTTAACTGTACTCTTTAGCTAGGGAAGCTAAGAGCCCGTTTGGTAGTATCAAAATCGGCTGTTTTGGCTGATTCTGCTGAAATTTATGATATTCTGGCTGGAGTGGCTGTTTTGGCTGATTCTGCTGATTTAAGAAAAAAATATTTTAAAAATATATTTTATTAATAAATTAAAGAAAAAATTATATGTAAAAATAGCTAAAATGGTCCTCTATAGTAACTTCAGCCAATACAGCCAGAAAAGTAACTCCAACCTTACTTTTTCGGCTTATTACACAATTCAGCGCGCGAAAGTAAAAGTTACGTGTTTGGTGAAAAAGCTGGCTGATAAGCCTGATAAGCCGAAAACAGAGTTCTCCAAACGGGCTCTAAATTTGCAAAAATAGTTACGTCTTTATTCTAATGTTATGTTTATTTTTATATCACATTTCACAAATGCATATTATATGGGACATCCCGAACCGTCCCGGTTTTTCTCGAGTTGTCCTGGTCCCATTTTAAATGGGACAACATTAGGATAAAGACTTATCCCATACCGTATCGGACCGTTATTATAAAACCGGGACGGGATCGAGATAAACCAAACCGTGCCCACCCCTAGTACTTTGATTATTGGCTCACTAGGAACATAGGATAACAACTCATGTGCACCTCCTCTAGACCTCTATAGTACAAACCATAACTGCGTAAAAAGATCGAAAAGCTCGCTCCTACTTCACCGGTTTTGTCGGACCGTGTCATAGTTGACTCTACACTCCACTGTCCAATTTCTCTCAATTCCATTCCAGTTCCACATCTGAAGCAATACGAAAAAGAGGAATCTAATTTTACTGAAATAGAATAATCAAATTCGCTGGTATTGCTCTGTCACACTATCAAATCGCTGCTATTCCTCTCCCTTGATTGGTTTGGCAGAGGCGGCCGTTGAAAGCTGGATGGGATGGCTTCCAAGCCGTGGCTTGCTCCGGCCCCCTCTTATGCAACTTTAGACGCAGCCTGGGATACCGATGAAGACGCCCCCGGCCCACGCTGCGCCCACACCCTCACCGCCGTCGCCGCCACCAAAACGCACGGCCCCCGCCTCATCCTTTTCGGCGGCGCCACCGCTATTGAAGGCAGCAATGGTGGTCCCGGCATCCGTAATTCTTCTCCCCTCTATCCTCTAATTTTTACTTGTTCTTGGAATTTTGACTTTAAAGTTCTTTACTTTGAATGCCAATTCGGTTGCAGGCCTTGCCGGTGTAACCAACGCTATTCATTCTTATGACGTCCTCACCAGAAAATGGTCCAGGTACTTCCGTTTCTTTTGCTTCATGTGATCACTTCATGTGTGGGGTGCTGATATGTTTCTCGATTTATGCGTTCTTATTTGCAATCCCAGACTGCGACCAGCTGGAGAGCCGCCTTCGCCAAGGGCTGCACATGCAGCTGCAGCAGTTGGAACTATGGTTGTATTTCAGGTGATTGGAAGCTGAAGTTCATGTGCATTCTTTTTTAAAGTGTTAGACTATGAGAATTTATGTGATGGGTTAATGTAATTTATGCTAGTGTGGCATAGGACCTGCTGGCCATTCAACTGATGATCTATACGTTCTAGACCTGACAAATGACAAATTAAAATGGCACAGGTGAGCTTATTGAGAAATTTACTCACACTTTTTTCCTTTCTTTCTACCTGTTGATTTCTTATTTCTGACTGTTATTTGTTGTCATCTAGAGTTGTAGTTCAAGGCCAGGGTCCTGGGCCACGATACGGCCATGTTATGGATTTGGTCGCTCAAAGATATCTTGTTACATTTGGTGGAAATGATGGTAAGCGCCACGCTCCTCAATATACTTCTCAGTAGTCCTATCTTTCCTATCAAATGATATAATCAGAATGCTCTGAAGAATTATTATTACCTAGGCTGTTCAATGATAGTTAATCTCACTGAATAGAGTACTTGGTGATCATTGGGAGTTTGTTATACTTTATTTTATGAGAATGTTCTTTAAGATATAATGGCATGACGTTGTCACTGTGAGGTATTTTACTAGATGCTGCTATGATATTGATGCAAATATGGAGATACTGTATGCTCTTTACTTTCAAAGACATGAATGGTTAAGTTTACCATTTGTAGATTTTATTGTATAATTGTTATTCAGTTTCACTTAGAGACTTCCTGTCTCAAAAACGTTGTAATTTTACTGTTAACTTTATGCATTTTAGGGAAAAGAGTTCTTTCAGATGCTTGGGCCTTGGATACTGCTCAGAAACCATATGTCTGGCAAAAGCTAAATCCAGAAGGTGATAGGCCCTCTGGCAGAATGTGAGTTTTATTATCTTTTCTCATTTTGATTCCAAATCTGCATGGAAGTTGGAGATATTATCTTGTTTTATGGACCTATGGTTTTGAAACTCGTTTCCTAGATAAATGTGAAATTTTGAGATATCATGTTGGTGCCAGCTATATACAGATCAGTCATGCTCTTAAGTCATCCTTAAGACTTTCTATTTTCTCTACCATGCTAATCATGGAATATAGTTGAGTACGAGAAGGTGCTCTCCTAAATTCGGGATTGTAAGGAGCTGACACTGGTTTCTTTCACTAGAATCTTATTGCTGCTGAATATGCACCTATAATCATTCAATCCATCTGTTTATTGATTATACACATCTTTTTATATAAGTGATTATTACATCTGATATTTTTATTTTCACATTCTATTAATAGCTAAGTAATAGAATTACTTTCCATCAGCTTTTGTGAACTTGTCAACATAGGTGCTATGTTTTAAATTGTCAGAGTCCAAAGATTTTTTCACTGCTATTGTAGGTATGCAACAGCTAGTGCACGTTCAGATGGAATGTTTTTGCTTTGTGGTGGAAGAGATACTTCTGGCACAGTATGTGTAATGTTACTATGGTGTAGAGTAGTATATGATTGCAATTCTGTAGGCTCTTTCCGCTTCTATGGCAACTCTATTTTCATGGTATATAAAGGTGAAGTTATATTTAGTGTATAAGTGTATTAGATAGACTTGCTATGGGGAAATACGAGACTATTCTCCTTATGGAATTTCTGGAAAAATATATATCTATATTACTAAATCTACTCGTGAAGTGGTTCTATGATGCAGCGTCTATACCTTGAGCTTGGTCGCCACGACTGGCCCAAATAATATATTCCCTTTGTTACATTAAGATTGGCACAAGGGAGACTTTCACTCAATTAAGAAAAAGTTGAATTGTGCAGTTGATAATAAATTTGTAAAGTATTTATGATTATGAACCACTTAAAAACAAGCAGATGTGTTATGAGACAAACAATTTGGGACTGTCAACATGGAAAAAGTGGGACAAACATAATGGGAGAGAGGGAGTAGCTTTAGCATGTGAGCGTGTCATTTTTTCCTGACATAGCAAGGATACTGGGTATTGATAACTTATGTTCTTCTGCAGCCAATGGCTGATGCTTATGGACTACTTATGCATAGAAATGGCCAATGGGAGTGGACTCTTGCTCCTGGGGTAGCACCTTCACCAAGGTATCAACATGCTGCGGTAAGTGATAAGCATCAACTATTCATTTACATTCCATGTCTATTGATTTCAGAATTCAACAACAACCAAGCCTTAATCACAAATTCTTTGGGTTCACTAGAGCCCACATCCTACATGAACCAATTGAAAAACTCCTGACGTCATTCGTCAAAATAGTTATTTTACATGCTTTTCTGTTGTGCCCTATATGATCATTGAGCATTTAAGCCCAACTGATCAACTCTATCATGTTCCTTTTGTGCACCTTACATCTATGTTTTATTATTCCTATCACATGATACCTTTAATATTTTGATACTCAAAGGCTCCACCCTTTGTATTGGAGCATTTGCTTCTCGACGGTTGACGCGCTGGAACCATCATCTGTTTCTCTCTTATTCTACTCTCCAATAACTGTCACTCCCATTCTCAAGTGAATCTCCATATCGTGGACTCTATTTTTCAGTCTTAAACACTTAGCGATACTCGTCATAGCTAGCATATACTCGCCACTGTGCCACACTCATTTTCTTTATCAAATCTTCCCTAATTTTCGAAATTGGGATCCGTATAATATAGCTTCTGTTATATCAGTCAAGGTCTTTAAAGTGCATGGGACGAGGTGTAGGAACGGGTCAACGCAGTAGAACAGGCAACATCTGTGCACTTCGTGAACTGCAACTTCGACAAACCTGCAGTAGAACAGGCAACATCCTGTGCAACCTATCACAACTTCACGAGTCTATATGGACATTGGCTCAGCACTAATGTTCAGTTAAATGGCCAACAGGCCAGTGGGTTATGTTCAGTACTTCAGTTTAATGTGAAATGGCTCATTGCTTGGTTTCTAATAGTTTCTCTAAACCAATTCTTGTAATATCATTAAGTCATGTTGCTTTCTGAGTTTCTGGTCATTTTCATTTGCTAGACTATCATAGATTATGATTTTAATTGCATATGGTTTACTTTTAAATTGAATATATTGTGCTTTTATAATAGTACGTACTACCTCCGTCCCATTTGACATTGTCGAGTTTGAGTTGTTTGTGGAATAACAAAAGTAAAAATTGAGTGGTCGAGGTTTGTGCATAGGAGAGAGGAATAAGCAACATCACAAATTAATTACTTTAAAGGGAAAGTGTTATAGTTTTTGCCTTTTGGGATAACAAAAAAGGAAACTTAGCAAAGTCCAATGGGGCAGAAAGAGTAACATTTTCAAAATTGTGCCCCTTGCGTGATTCACAAGAGTGCTTTTTTGCACCTTGCCCTAATGCAATATAGAGCCTGTTTGGTAACACTGAAATTGGCCGATTCTGCTGAAATTTACGAAGTTCTGGATGAAGTGACTGTATTGGCTGATTATGGTGATTTATGAAAAAATTATATTTGAAATATATTTTATTAATAAAATAAATAAAAAATTATATGAAAAATAGCACATACAGCCAGAAAAGTAACTCCAACCTTACTTTTTCTTATTGTTACACTATTCAGCGCGAAATCAAAAGTTATGTGTTTGGTTAAAAAAATGGTTGATAAGCCCGATAAGCTGAAAAACAGAGTCACCAAACGGGTTCTTAGGGTCTTTGAGCCTTAACTGTACCCATGAATTTGACTACCTTGATAAAAAGAACGATTTTATTCATAAAAATAAAATGTACAATGCAAGAAGATAAAAAAGAAAGGAAAACAAATAGAGGGAAAAAATGCATAAAAAAAGATAATATAATAGACTCAAACTAGACCCAAGGGAAATCTCTGGACTGTGATCTAGTCCTCATGCTGTGTGGCGCCTTTTGTTTTGCTGAGATTTCCTGTAAAGTTTGAGTTGAGAGAGGGAGGTACATACATTATGATCACGTAGTATACATGTCACGTCTTTCCAATATAGTCAACTTGCATTAATCATATCAGTCACACCTTTGTCATTATCTTCATTTTTCTATTTAATAGATCTGAAGTTTCTTAAAATTTTCGTGATGGGTAACTCTTCGACATCCAATTCCATCCTATTTGCTCTTACCGTTATAGGTGCTAAGCTTGCACCTTAATTACTCTGTTTACTTTGGCTCATCTTAAATCCCATGATTGGCTTCCTAATGATGTCTTCATGTCTAAAAAAACTGTGCCACCATGAATATCTTATTTCATGTGCCTTAGTAGCCAGCCTTTCATATTTTCTGCACTGGAATGGGGCCCTCCATAGGAAGCTCTTCCCTTTCCCTGATTTTATGCTATTATGTAGGTATTTGTTGGTGCAAGATTACATGTTACTGGAGGTGTACTTAGAGGCGGTCGTGCTGTAGAAGGTGAAGGAACTATAGCAGGTAAAGATCGGGGATGTTTGGTATAGTGATCTCTTCTGAGTTCTGAGTGAATTTCTCAGCAGGATTCATTTGATATAGTTTCCTCAAGTCTTAAAAGTATTGTTTCTTGTTAATAGTACTGGATACAGCTGCTGGAGTTTGGTTAGATAGAAATGGGCTGGTAACTTCTTCACGAAACAATAAGGGGCAAACAGAGCATGATCCTTCATTAGAGCTTCTACGTCGCTGCCGCCATGCAGTTGCATCTGTTGGTGTTCGGATATATCTTTATGGTGGCCTCAGGGGAGGTAACAAATGCAATTAAAAGTTACAGAATATAGAATGTGCTAGTTCATGTGGATTCATATGTTAAAAGAATGTGTTGCATATATCGTGTTGCCTCAGAATAGATTACTATTGACTTTAAATTGATGCAAACTGGATGTAGGAGTGCAGATCCTCTTACGGCTGTAATTTTTTTCCATGAGTGAAGTTGTGTACTAACTATTATCAGTATAAGTAGAACACTGGTGCTTATTTGAGGGGATTTGAATGATGGTGACTGATAAGTTGGTTCTATTTATGCATTATCATCAGTCATCGTTGTCAAGAGCATTTATGGTTTACTTCTAATTTTTTCCATGCAGATACACTACTAGATGATTTCCTGGTTGCAGAAAATTCTCCGTTGCAATCAGAATTAAATTCCCCAGCATTAACATCTGAGCGAGCACCAGCGGGGACTCCTAGGTTTGTAAATACTGATACAATCTCACTCCTTGACACAGTAACCCCAGATGGAAACCCTGATTTCATGTCATTTGGTGGTTTGAGGTCGCTTTGAAGTGATCAGATAGGTCTTTGGTGGACATTTTGATGTTAATCCTTTTGATTCTTGCTTGCAGCATGGACAGAAAGTCTATGGAAAAACTAGCTGAGGCTTCTGCCGCTGAAGCTGAGGCTGCAAATGCTGTCTGGCAAGCAGCACAGGCTGCGTCCCCTTCTTCTGAAGAAACCTCTGCATCTAATGACAATTTCCAACCTACAGAAGCCACTTCAGATGGCAGTGACAGTGAAGTGGATGTCCGCCTTCATCCCAGAGCTGTATGTATCTTGTTGGGGGTGCTTACTGTTGATTCCTTTCTGCAAGTAGTAAACTATTAGCTTTTGTGCTGAATCAGGTTGTAGTTGCAAAAGAAGCTGTTGGTAACCTCGGAGGGATGGTAAGGCAGCTGTCCTTGGATCAATTTGAAAATGAGAGTCGGCGAATGCTTCCATCTCAAAATGATCTCTCGAATCCGACAAAAAAAATTTCTAGGCAAAAATCTCCCCAGGGGTTGCATAAGAAGGCAATGACTCGATCTTTTTCTGTAATCTAAGCCAACGAGTAAACAATTAATTCCTTTTTCTGATATATTATATTTTGCTAACATTCTTTTGTATCTCAGATCATATCCACTTTACTCATGCCCCGGAACTGGAAAGCTCCCGTCAACAGAAAGTTCTTTCTTGATTCATATGAAGTGGGCGAGTTATGTTATGCTGCTGAGCAGATCTTCATGCATGAGCCCACTGTTCTACAACTGAAAGCTCCTATTAAAGTGTTTGGTGATCTCCATGGACAGTTCGGTGATTTAATGAGACTGTTCGATGAATATGGGTTTCCGTCCACTGCAGGAGACATAACGTAATACTAATATTAGAGTCATACACATTCAATCTACTTTTACATAGCCAACTTTAGTAGTTTGATAGTTGTAACATACTCAACTTTGTGGGTAATTTCTTTGAAATTATTTTCCAAACTGTTAATAGAAAAGGAACCTAAAATTCTTAACGTACTAAGATACACTGATGATGGTTGTTCCTCAAGGGAGCTTTAGTGTTTGTAGTTAAAGAGTTGAGAAATCCTGCTTAAAGATTTCGTATACGAGTATGTAACTATATAAGATATTGATGGACTATGATCAATTGGCAATAGTTTATTAAAGGAATGATCTGGGCACAAAGTTATAGTAGAAGTTGGAAGTTTTATGAATGTCTCCATTATATTTTAATGTTGCCCGTGTTTAATTCAGAGTCAGTATTTTCTCTTTTCAATCGAGCCTTTTACCGAAGGGTTTTCACTCCTGGAGTGAATAACCACACCTTTGACCATTTCTTTTTGTACACCTTTAATTCCAGTAGGCTACAGTCTTACATTGGTGTTAGCAATGTCTCCATTGTATGTGTTGCAAACATAAGCTATTAAACTCTTGCCATGTACTGTAATGGCTGTTGTAAGGACATATATCATAAACCCACTCAGATATTCACAAACAACATTTCCATTAAACACTTCCAAATTCCTTGAAGTATTCTAAACCGTATTTATTATAGTTTATCATATTCTTGAGTGAGTTGAGTCCCTTGTGTTTGATGGATAGTTACTTTGCTTTTCAGTTACATTGACTATTTATTTCTCGGTGATTATGTTGATCGAGGACAGCACAGCTTGGAGACAATCACTTTGCTTCTAGCTCTAAAAGTAAACTCGATACACCCAAATTAATACTGCTAAATCCTCATGGACAACTTTCTAGTGGGATTTTCACTCATTTAACACAATACTCCCTTTACCTACAGATTGAATATCCTGAGAGTGTTCATTTGATACGAGGCAACCATGAGGCTGCAGACATCAATGCACTTTTTGGTTTTCGTATTGAATGCATTGAAAGGATGGTATGTGCAAATGCTCACTTATATTTATTATCATTATTATTATCACTATTTGTTTATTTTCATTATTCTAATGGAAAGCAAGCTCTCAGGGAGAGAGTGATGGAATCTGGGCTTGGACGCGTTTCAACCAACTGTTTAACTACCTCCCACTTGCTGCACTTATTGAAAAGAAAATCATTTGTATGCATGGTGGTATAGGGAGGTCAATAAATTCAGTTGAGCAAATTGAAAAAATTGAAAGGCCAATAACAATGGATGCTGGTTCCATAGTGCTAATGGATTTACTATGGTAAGTTTTAACTCTTATATGCTAACCATGCTTTTAATCTCCAAGCTTTTCACATACCAAATATTATTACTTATTACAGGTCTGATCCCACAGAAAATGATAGTGTAGAAGGATTAAGACCAAATGCGAGAGGGCCTGGTCTTGTGACCTTTGGAGTATGACTTTTTGTAATCTCTGCTTATGTTTTTAACTTTTTACCAGTTCTCAACCACCAATTAAGCTAAGCAGCACAGTTGCAGCAAAACTAGAAAACAAATAAATCTGCAATCTCTTAAAGTTCTGTTAAATCTAATTCTGCAATTTTTTAAAGCCTCTTCGATAAATCTGAAATCTTTGAAGTTCTATTTAATGAATCTGCAATCTTTTAAAGTTCTGTTTAATAAATCTGCAATCTTTTAAACTTCTGTTTAGCCAAGCCTGCAATCTTTGCAGTTCTGCTTAATGAATTTGCGACCTTTTAGTTTGGAATCAAGTGTTGATAAGTCGAAAATGGATCAATACTGAGTCCTTGTTGATAACTTGCACTTAGTTTTCACTACTATTCTGATCTTTGCAATTTTTTTCAACTTACTATTTTATGGTCCCTTTCAGCCTGATCGTGTTACTGATTTTTGTAAGAGGAATAAACTGCAATTAATAATTAGAGCACACGAGTGTGTTATGGATGGATTTGAACGCTTTGCCCAAGGGCAGTTGATCACACTGTTTTCTGCTACTAACTATTGTGGTATGTTTTGGGAGAGCTCCACTGCCTCCACGCCATTCTTTTTTGGCACTAGAATGTGTAGTCTCTAAAGTTGCATATGAATGCATTCAGGAACTGCCAACAATGCTGGTGCAATACTTGTAGTGGGACGAGGGCTGGTCATAGTTCCTAAATTGATTCATCCGTTGCCTCCACCTTTTCTGTCCCCGGAAACATCTCCTGAACGAATTACTGATGAGACATGGATGCAGGTAATACATAATTGGCACTATACAAACTTGACCTGTAACTATTTATCTGGCTTGTTCACAATTTTTAACATTGGATCCTCAGGAACTAAACATTCAAAGACCGCCTACTCCCACCCGTGGTCGTCCACAGCCAGACCTAGACCGTAACTCACTCGCTTATATTTAACTGGGCGTTTTAATCAACACAAATTCTACTGTTGTGAATGGTCAATCCTTGCGGTTTCAAGGGGTATAGTGGAACTGGGCATACACTACGAACAAGTAAAGGGATTCTTTCAAGTGTTGAGAATAGCAATTGAGTAGACATGCATGGCTTCTGCATTGTGTAACATAGCTGGTCTAGATGCAGAACTTGGCTGCTACGATCCTGATGCCTACAATTAGTTGGGAAGATTGTAACATTGAGCTGTGTATTATGTATTGTTAAAAGAAAATGCCGAGTAGGTTTTACTTTTTCACACTGATTGGTTTGTATTGTTAAACAGATAGAGTATATTATATGCACAGAGATGAATAGCGCCATTGGATTCAGAGTCTGGTAAATTTTGAAAGATGTAATGTAATCGTATATCCTGTTGCTGTCCAAACTAAAATTTCAGATTATAGAATGACGACAAAACTAAAATCAATAAATAGAAGTTATTGGACAGAAAATATATTACCAGTTTTATTTCGAACGGGAAAGTGATTCAATTAAATGCTGAGTCGTTTTAAACACCCTAAGGTAAGGATGGTCTTGGTCCAGTTCTTAGAACTAGCAATGGTTATTAGGGTGGACGGTGGACCCGGTCCAGATTCCTTGGAATGGATTGTTATTGTAATTTGTAATTATGTATAAGTTTAAACTACTCACGCCTCATAATTGACGAATCAAAAGAATTGGGATGAATAGAAATAATTGTCATTAATTAAAGAATTGAACTTACAAAGAATCCCAGGTTCTTGGATTAAACAACGTAAAAAAACGCAGATAAACTCGTCCCTAGGCCTCTCTCCAAAGTTTAAGTGTGGGGGAGTAAATTGGGCATTCGGGCAGTAGTTGTCACATGTGATTTGTTAGAGTTAGCATGCGCAGATGTTAGTTGTATATTCATAGGAAATTCATGCAAAATTTTTGAAAATTTTCCTTTAAACTGTGTCTTTGTGAGCTGGCTAGCGTTTTGACTATGCTTTTAGAACATCTTTGAAGTGTTTAGGCTTAAATTGCTTGCACTATAATCTAATTGTTGAAAGGATGAAGGCATTAGTCACCCATGAATTTTCCATTAATCATCCACCCCACCTGATAAGAACCCTTTAGGAGAAGCCATTTTGAGCCTGACCGTTTTTTGTTACCCAATTAATTAAGCTCCATAGCCAAATGGCCTGTTTCCTTACCCGTGAATATTTCTGACCTAGTCTTGATGTTTAGGGAATTAAGGGAGTAATTTGTTAAGATTAGAGAATTTTTGTAGGAGCCATTTTTGGCACTGTTCCTATGCCCCAAATGGGGTAAGAGCAGTCACTTTTTAGGAATTTGATACTTTCGAGGATTGCATTGTAGGCATGGATTCACTTTTAAATAAATGAACCTTAATTGCTATTTTTCCTTGGTGAGGCCGAGATTAGAATGGGGTAATGTCTAGTGAGAATCCGAAAGGTGAAAAATTAATATAGCTAGACCTCTTACTTTGCGGAAAAGGGAATGGGAGCCCCGGTCAAAAAGCGTAAGATGAGACTTGGGTATCTTTCGAAAGAAACGGCGTTCTCGTGCCAACATGACAAGGAAAACTAAACCATAATTAATGAACTTGGAGGCTATTGAAAAATTAGCTTTAGTCCTCCGCGTACTTCAAGTATACGTCAAAGCACAAATGTGTCGCGACGGTTTAGCTTAGTTGTACGCCATGTCTACTCTTTGCATAGGTTTAAATGATTATTCCTAATTTGTGGCCTACTGAGTTCCTTGTTCCTAAGAATAGCCCTGAAATTCCTATATACATTAAGTCTTTGTTAGAATATTCCTATCTCTCAAAATAAAGGGACTATTATTATTAATCATTCACCATCACATTCACAAGTCCTTCTGATCAGTAGCTAGTTTATTTGTGTATGCTGTCATTACTTTGAGGATGTTGTGAATAATTGTGTCAAATAGTTTAGCTTGAGTACAAAGATGTAGTTTAGGGAAGAATTTTCTTGATTTAGATTGTCTGTCCTGTGAATATCCCTTTAACTACGTGTGTATGCTAACTATTTTAAATTCCGTGCGGTGATTATCGTAAGTCCCATTGTTCGATTTGCTTGAGGACAAGCAAAAGCTTAAGTGTGGGGGAGTCTGATAAGTCCGTATTTAGACACGCATTTGATGCGTGTTCAGGTCGGATTTTGATGATTTTCCTGGCTTTAAGGCGTTGCAAGTCTCAATTTTGGCTCAAGTTGTGTTTAACAGGCGTTGGATCGAGTTTCATAGCATTTGGAGTTGATTTGAAGAAGTTAGAGTCCGGCAATCGGCGCTTGAGAGGCATTCGGGAAGGGTTTGAAGGCATTCGAGAGAGATTTGGAAGATTTGGAGGCCACCGGGAGATTCACGACGAAATTCTAGTGAAGAAAGAGCATTTGGATCGACCTCGTAGGCATCCGGGAGCATTCGGAGCAAGAAAACGAAAGAAAAATGAAGAATAGGGTCAGGCACGGTCGTGCCTGGAGTTAGGCACGCCGTGCCTGAAGAGGAATCATCCTGGGAGCTACTGGAGGCCAGGCACGATCGTGCCTGGCAGCTAGGCACGCTGTGCCTGGCATTGATCGAGGAAACAAGCTACTGGAGGCCAGGCACGATCGTGCCTGGTAGTCAGGCACGCCGTGCCTGGACGCGAATTACGGGCATCTTCCGCAGGCACGGTCGCAGGCACGATCGTGCCTGGCACCGTGCCTGGCCGCGATTTGTCCTAATTCGACCCGAATTCACTGTTTTCTATAAATAAGGCCTCCATACCCACTTTTCGGGGTTACGAACTTTGGAGAGAGGCCTAGGGACGAGTTTTTCTGCGTTTTTTTACGTTGTTTAATCCAAGAACCTGAGATTCTTTGTAAGTTCAATTCTTTAATTAATGACAATTATTTCTATTCATCCCAATTCTTTTGATTCGTCAATTATGAGACGTGAGTAGTCCAGTCACTCCAATGTATTCAAGCAGTTTTAGTCTGGTTCTAGTGTTGGTTACAGGCGGTTTGGAACTGGAAAAGTAAAGTAGTTAGAAGGTTTGGTGCCCATTTTTAGGGAACCTGACTGAGTTAGTACTTGTTCTGTTTTGGGTATAATATTTCGGTTCTAGTCCGGGATTGGCCCCATCGCTAATGGTTCTGTTCTCGTTTTGGACCTTTTGGTTCAGTTAAATAGTTACTTATACTACTACCTCCGTCCCAAAATTAACTTCTCAGTTTGACTTCACACAGATTAAGAAAATAAATTTGACTTTACTGTGGAGTGCAATGTTTTGTACTGTTTAAACACTGTTTTACACTGTTTGGCACTGTTTGGCACTGTTTGACACTTTTTTTATGTAGATTATTTGCCAAATAAGGAAAGTTTTGAAGCGTGAAGTGAATTTCGGGACTGCCCGAAAAGGAAAGTGAAGTTAATTTTGGGACGGAGGGAGTATGTTTTTATGGTTCTGATCATGATTCATAAGGACTGTCTTTTTTAGCCACCATTTGTTAGAACCAGAATTAGTCTTATCATGTTTGGCTTTTGATTCAGGTTTTCGGGTGAGTATCAGTAATAGTTCTTGAATAGAAGATCTCATACTCCTTCCATAGCCATGAACACGCTATTCAACCTTCAATTGTCTTCCTCAGTCAGTCAGTCCCATTTCTTTGTTCTTTGTTCTCGTACACTATTCACACAATCAATGCCAGTCTATTTTAATCATTAAATTTTGGGTAATAGAATGACATATTGCGTTAGAAAAAGAAGTGGCAATGTACAACTTATTGGCAGTTATCCTTAAAAGTTGAGTTGGAATCTCGCATTTTTTCAGTGCTTCTCCTTAGAAACATTAAGGGCCGGTTTACTAACAGAGATATTTTCCTGTTTTCTACTTCTGTTTTTCGTTCTCTAATTTTCTGTTTTTATTTTTCAATTTTTCTATCTCCAATTTTCTGTTTCTATTTTTTAGTTTTCCATTTTCAAATTTGAAAACATGTTCATCAATTTTTTCACACAGTTCTCCAATTCCACACCTTTGACCCCTACCTCGACCCTTACCACGATCTTACACTCTTCCCATACTCCACCACAACCCTTCATGCCCACCCATACCTACTCGTAGGGGTCGGGGTAGGGAAGTTATGGGTGGGGTGGGGTAAGGGGTATGGTCGGGTGGGGTGGTAAGGTCTAGGGGTAGGGGTTGGGTGGGGGTAGTGGGTGGGTTAGGGTCGTGGTTAGGGTTAAGGGTGGGGTAGTGGGTAGGGTTGGGGTAAGGTAGGGGTAGGGTAGGGAGTTGGGATAGGATGGCGGTAGGGTGGGGTCGGGACCAGGGTAGGGCCGGGGTAGGGAAGGGGTAGGGTGGGGGGTAGGATGGCGGTAAGGGTGGGGGTAGTGGGTAGGGTTTGGGGTTGGGGTAAGGTAGGGGTAGGGTAGGGAGTTGGGATAGGATGGCGGTAGGGGTGGGGTCGGGACCAGAGGTGGGGGGGTAGTGGGTAGGGTTTGGGGTTGGGGTAAGGTAGGGGTAGGGTAGGGAGTTGGGATAGGATGGTGGTAGGGTGGGCCCGGGATCCGGGTGGGGGTGGGGGTAGGATGGCGGTACGAGGGTGGGGGTAGGATGGCAGTGGGGTGGGGCCGAGGTGGGAGGCATGTGGTAAGGGGTAAGGTAGGGGTAAGTGGTAATATACGAAGGGTGGGGTTAGGGTGGGGTGGGTCGGGGTGGGGTCGAGGTGGTTGGGGGTGGCGGTAGGGTAGGGTGGATCGAGGTGGGGTCGAGTTGGTAGGGGGGTGGCAGTAGGGTAGGGTGGATCGGTGTGGGGCCGAGGTCGGGGCATGTGGTGGGGGGTGGGGTAAGGTCATTATAGGGAAAAATGGGTATGCGGGGTGGGGGTTTGGTGGGTAGGGTAGGGTAGGGTAGGGTAGGGGTAAGGGGTAAGGTACGAGGATGAAGGTACTGGAATGGAATCGACATCGGAGCGGGACCGGACCCACCACTAGGTGTAAGTATGCAAATTCATTGCAAAGGCACTGTAGCATCTGTGTTTTCCAAATTTGGAAAACTAGTAAAAGTCACTTCTCTAAATCATTAAGGAAAAGAGAGACATGTTTCATTTTTTCCGTTTTGGAAAACGATTTGGTAAACGCGTTTTTCTTTTTTCCTTTCTCCAGTTTTCCAGGAATTTCTTTGGTAAACACGTTTCCTGTTTTCTGTTTTCCAGTTTTCCAGTTTTCTGAAGAACTGGAAAATATTTCTGTTAGTAAACAGGCCCTAAATCTCACATACTCTGAATCATATTTTAGAGTGATATAGTGTGTCCCTTTTCAATTAATGTTGTTCCAGAATCAGACGAAGCCTGATTTCCAAGAAGCGGTTGAGTTAAATCCTGCCACAATCATCTCCCTAGTAAAAGCATTT